TGGGTTAAATTGGGGCAGGTTAGGTTGGCATGTGTGAAAATAGGGCAAAATTTTGGAACAAGAAATCTGGTTGAACAATGAGAATATAATTTATGATGAGTAACTAATGCAAAAGAAAAGTAATGCAAAAGAAAAATAAGCAAAATATGGTCATGAGCCTGGAGGAAAGATGATCCACCCATAAGCTTTTCTAACTTCTCTCCTATAAGCAACACTAGTCTAATAAAACTTTTTGTGTTTCCCTCTAAGCCTTTCCTTTCAATAAAAAAAATAATTACAAAAAAATGAAAAAATAAAAAAAAGAAGAAAAAAGAAAAAAGAAAAAAGGAAAAAAGAAAAAAAGAGTATATTTGTAGTAAAGACTTTATGCAAATGGAGATTTTAAGATATCTGATGAACACAATAAAACACTGTACCTGCCTGATGCTTGGGGGGAGGTTTCATCCAATCAGAATATTACAGAACATTTGTTCCCAATCTCACAAGCTTCCTCCTCAGTTTTGTGGTCTGCATTCCTTTAAAAGAAGCAGTTGCTGCAATGGTTGAGACCCCACAATTCATGACCTAAGGCTTCATCTATTGTTACTGAAATTAGAACCAAAAGCTTGAACTGACATTGCAAGTGAAGCAGGAACCAGCTGTCAGCTTGAGCACAGTGCAGACGAGGGGCTCACAGAGCAGCCAAAGTCACAGGTCATAAGCCATCTCACCTTTGAACCTGGGAGCTGACATCGCAGCTGGATTATGTGGAACAGTCCCCCACAATGAGCGTGGCAAAGACGTGCACTGCTCTGTCCAGGCCTGCACTCCAAACAAAGTCTCCTTGGAAGTCAGAAAGTAAAAGAAAGGCAGGCAGTCAGACTCATTGGGAAGAGCATTGCAAAGGTTTTGGGCTGTTGTGGGTTGAATGCTGACAGGGACATGTGGAAACAGCATCATGCATTTTCACCTTCCCAAGTATTGCTCTCATCTTGCTTGTTTCAGCCTGCGCCAGTGGGTTGTCATCTGAAAGGTTATTCCCTGGCCTTTGCTGATGCATTACACATGATGACAGCTGCATGAGTAAAGAACAAGATAAACAGCTGGGTGTTATCATTCTAAGCTAAGACGATGGTGTTTCTCTTTCCCCTTCTCCCAGAAGTCTTGTGGATTTTTGAAAAGAATTTGTAAAGCCCTCAGTCTTAGCACTGATCTCTGCAAGATGTTCACAGAAAGAGAAGTTGCTCTTTACTACTAGGAAGAATTCTAGGAGACCATGCCTATGCATGCCTATGCATGACAAACATGCTGGTGTTAGCATTAGTATGCTTTGCTGTGTCAAGGCTAGAGGGAAGTCCAGTAGTTTGATCAGGAATATTTAATGGTTGCTTATGGCCTGGAGGAAGTTTTTAAGTAGCCTCAGCACTCACAAATCCAGTTCATACACTTATGCTGAGGTTGTCTTTCAGGCTTTACGATGGCAGGAAGTCCAAAAGGAATTAATGTTAATATGGCACTATCCAAAATATCAGGATGAAAAGGTTTACTGTGTTTTGGTTGTAAATAGACTGTTTGCAAAAGAAAAAAAAACGTTGTTTTCTTTTTTTTTTTTTTTTTAAGACCAATCCCCTAACATTTTGAAAATTAAAATGAAAGTTATGGAATCTAGCTTCAGCAGCAACAAAACACTCTGAGATCAATCCCAAATGCCACTGTAAAAATATATATAGAACAATTTTACAGAGACATGAAATATGAAATGAACTTGGATTTTAGTATTGTTACAAGCAGCCAAATAGTAAACTCAAAAGGCTCTTTCTTTACAATGCAGACATCAACAATGTTAACAATGGCAGTTCTGCTTCAAAGTTCTAATGAAAGCCTTAAATTCTTGTAAAATGTTAATAACTACTAAGGCCATTTGTTCTTGACTGGAAAAAATAATTTCATTTCCATGTTTTCTCCTCAGATCATTTAGACTGGGCTATACTTGAAGCGTTGACCACAGTAAGAACCCCAGACATATAAAAGAGCCTGAGCAGTTATGCTACTTGCCAAAGACAACTGTTAGTTTAGGAAGTAGTATGGCGAAATCACATCACACCACTTTCAGGGGTCAGACGAACGCACGCAATTTAAAGAAAGAGAGAAATCAACCATAACTTAACTAAAATTTTGAAGACCTGGCATGAGTCTCCTATCATTTTTTCTCTCCAGTTGAAAAGATGGGTAATATTTCTAGTTCCACCCTCATACCCACTAAAAATAGCACTGAAGCAAAATCAAACTGATGCTTTCCTGCTAGGTGAGCAAATAACAGACCAGTATATAGAGTGAGCTGGACCTGAAGAGCTGCTTTACACATCGGCAATTTTGCTTCAAGTTCAGTTAGAATTGCTTTGAGGCCACAAAACAATTATTCCTCTGGCACAGAAGTAAAGGGGGGTTATGATTAAACATCACAGTAAGCAGAACATCTATCTGTACCCTAAGAGTTGTCTTTTTAGTCATTCAAGAAAAGTTATGTCTTCAAGAACATAAGGAGGAAGGGTTACAAATCAAAAAAGGACCTCTTTCTGTATCTGAAGATAATCTGAATGAGTCTAATGCATGCATCACAGGCAAACCTGTTGCTTTAAATCCACTTTTCTCTCTCAGTGTAATGCTCCCTTAATGTCTGGTTCAGCTGCCTGACAGACAACTGAATTGACTCTTTTTGAAGACACATTGCAAAAGGTGCTTTCTAGGGACCACCCTTCTGCTGATGAGAAGAAGCTGTTAGCAGCTTTTCTCTACCATTCTGCAATGCTGTGCGTTTTCATATCTTTTGTTCTCAGTCACTGGAAATCATATGTAATCGTATAGAAACTGAGGCCATCTGACAAGTCCAAGAATCAGTGCAAGGGGGAAGTACAGGTTATCACACAATTTGCAACCCCAATGTCTGGACTGACAAAGACAGTACAGAGCTAATTGCAGAATTCATATAAAAGAGAAATAGAAGAGTAAAAACTGAGTGAGATTCTTTTTCAGAAAGAGAGGAGAGGTGGAACATTACCAGAAGGGCCTAACTTTTTTATTCAGAGAGAGAGAGATGGTATGAACTGCTGCTATTAGGCTTGAAGTTTAATGTTGCATAAAGGGGAGAGGAAATAAGGTTAACTAAACAGACAAGCCATGTTTCTGGTTATCCCAGCCTTTTCAGGAGGAAAAATATTTGTTTATATATAAAAAAAAAAGAAAATAAAATAAAATTTAAAATTTAAATTTAAAATAAAATTTAAAAAAATTAAAATAAATTAAAAAACATAATCTGAGAATCTATAAAAAGTGTGTGATAGGAAGGCTGAGCTTGCTCACATGAGAGAAAACATGGGATTGTCAGCAGAAAAAGCCTTAGAAAACATGAAACATCCTCATATCTTTGCTACTATCTCTTCAATTTGAACAGTTCTTTACACATGATCTAATTTTTCTATACTGGATCCAAATATGCCATCACTTCCCTTTCATGGGAGTTTATAGGAGTTTATTACTTCATTCAAACATTTTATGTGCTGGATTTCTTTTGTGGTCAAAGAATCAAGGGTACACTAGTCATTCTCATACTCTTTTCTAAGGAGAATATACATAATTTCCCATCAAAACTAACTATATGACAGAGATGGGGTTGTTTGGCCTGGAGAAGAGAAGGCTCCAGGGGGAACTTAAAGCATCCTTCCAGAATCTGAAGAGGGCTACAAGAGAGCTGGAGAAGGACTTTTTACCCTTTGTCTTAGTGATAGGATGAGGGGGAATGGGTTTAAACTGAGAGAGGGCATGTTTAGATTAGATATTGGGAAGAAATTATTTGCTGTGAGTTTGGTGAGACACTGAAATAGGTTTCCCAGAGAAGTTGTGGATGTTCCATCTCTGGAAATGTTCAAGATGATGTTGGCTGGGGCTCTGAGCAACCTCATCTTATGGAAGGTGTCCCTGCCCATGGCAGGGTGGTTGGAACTAGATATCTTTCAACCCAAACCATTGTAGGATTCTATGATATATCACGATATTCAACAGTTTTGGGCTTCACCCTGAACTCTGGGCTAAAGCAAGAGATTCCCTCCCTTTCTATTTTCTGTAGCTGCTGATGATGTCATTGTCCTCTATGGGACACATGCATGAGCCAGAGTTGCTATTAATTTCAGAATTTGTCAAATGCCACCTGTGAGACACTGGATTATTATATTAATTATTACCCTTTAAACTTTTGCCAAGTACTCTCATTTCCTAAAATTTGCTAGTAAAAGTGCCCCCTGAGAAAATGTGTGCAGCTTTTCTCCTATGTGCTCTCTCTTAAGGTGTTAAAAGAACCAAATACTCTTCTAAAAAATTTGGTGGGGAAATTTTTGGAGCCTTGTATATTTTTAAAATAAAACTCCTTTGGTGAGCTTGTAGCTCAAGATTTGGGATCTTACATCATCCTCTTCCTAAAGTCCCAGATGAAGAACAACATACTATTTATAAATTAAACAAAAAATACAATCAAGTTGCCACTGACAAAACATCGTAATGTAGAAAGAACTAGGTGCAGAAGGCAGATGCTAAAGGAAAAGGGTCTGAATGATTTTAGCTGGAACCTGCATTTTTACCAAGGCCTAGTTTCCTTCGTTCACAACACACCCCAGCTGGATCATCCCCTCCAGGGCATGGAATATATATTGAGATTTGTGTTTGAGACTTTGTGACCTTCCTGGGGAAATGGTCTCCATAATGTCACAAATATCTCAGAGCAAGTAATTAAATTCCCAATATTATGCTGACACTGATGCGTTCCACTAGTTTGTACTTAATAACACCCAGCTGCAGAAGTCACGAGAACAGTAGAAAGGTGAGCAATAAATAGAGCTGTGTCTGTTCAGCCGTCACCACAATTAGGGATGATTTTTTTCAAGCTTTATACACAAACTTTGCCAATAAAGGTGGCTGAATTGCTGGTTCCAGTTTGTTGATATCTGTACTTTTGTTTTCTTTTTACATAGATCCGTTGCCTCTGACAGTCCCGTGCTTGAAGGAAACCAGAACACAGTGCGAAACATGGATAAACTATCTATTTCTGAACTGTTCGAGGTCATCAAACAAAACCAAAAAGCGTCTCACAAAATTTCCATCTGGAAGCAAGAATTGGCTGAGCTGGATGCACAAACCCTGTCAAGCCTTCCCTTAAGTCTCGCCAGGATATTAACTTTGAAATAAAGCCTAGTTTTTCTGAGTTCTGTTTTGAAGATTTCTGCCCTATTCAGAATGTCTGACTTCCCATTATTTTAAGAAAGAGGTAAAAGCAAACGAGTGGAATTTGGAAATATATCAGCTCAATTATATTGTTGTCTAGAAGCGAGTCGTGCTGGCACATAAAACTAATTTATGGTTATAATTACATGCACGGGACAGTCATAACACCTTTGCTTGATTCATCTAGTAGTTACAGCCACTAGAAGTACATCCATCCTGCATCAACTCAGCTATTGGTGACCGTCTATAAACACCATTTCTGCACCCTGCCTTAGTACAACAAAAAAGAAAGAGATTTGGAGGGCCATGAGGGCTGTTTCAGAGAGCTCTCCTTGTAATAAAAGTTTCTAAAAATTCATCCCCAATTTCTACGTAGAGGGTCACATTCCTGCCATATGAAAAGTTTACCACCACGTTGCAAACCACTAGAAATTAGGGAATTGATTCAGATCCAATATCAACAGTGCTCAACTCTTGCCGACAGTACTATCATACAACAGGAATCACCAAATGGCTTGATCCAGTGCCTGCCTAATTGAATAGGAAACTTTCTGTGGGTTTGAGGGAGAGCTGGTTGAGAAAAGGAAGAGATGTCCAACACTGATTTAGATATTAACATGGCTAGGTAAATTTTCAAACTTCAAGTCACAAGACTTCATGTTTTTGTAGAGAGGACATGTGGTTTAGTGACTGAACAGCTTTATTTCTTTAAAATTCTTAACAGCATCAAAACACTTGTTGGATGAGGATAAAATACATACACAGACAGACAGGAAAACATGTCACAACATTTATGCTAAAACCTTCAGGTTCATATACTAGCCAGTCCTTTGAAAATATTAATTTTTAGAAATATTTTTTTCCGATTGGTTTTCCACTGCTCCTTGGGAAATGAGGTCTTATATGGCTCACAGTTTGCACCATAATTCATGACTTTGAAGCATCAATCATGTCTGGATTGTTGAAAAGCATGGTGTTTAAAAAGATTTTGCCTGAGAATTTCAGACTGGGTGTTCTCTGCCCACATATTGATGATACATTTTTTTATACTCAGTGCTAAAAAAATATTTAACCAACTCCTTCACTTAACCAAGCTCCTCTCAGTGGAAGTGAAGCCACTTACTCCTATCTTTTGTTCATTTCAAGGATATTATGTATCAGCTGCATTCAGATTAAAACATCAACTGGAAAAAGATATGATATTTTCAAAGTTGGTGAGAAACAGAAGATAAATCTGACTGATTTTTGGAATGTAGGCTAAAAACATGACAAGAAAGTATTTCCCTGTAAAAGCATTAATGACTGTTGAGCAGGGATGAGTAATTGTCAAGAATCTGTCATGAGGTGCCATCACCTTCGTAGCTGCTTCTATTAGTGAGCCTCAGCTCTAGAGTGGCAACATTCCCTGAGTGAAGAGACTGGACTGCTGTGCTCCTTTGTTTCCAACTGCTTCTGCAGACACCTAGACTTTTTTTGTAAGCAGCCAAATACTTATGTATCAGCTGGAGAAAAGGAGAGCCAAAGTTTTTCTACACAGACCACAAGCAAGTAAGCCATCGTTGGTTCATCCACGAACAACAGCACGGGAATCCCTGAGAATGTGTGTAAACAACCAGTCCAAATAGGGAATCCAGAGCAATGCAGTTCCAAGATAGCTCTGTGTGTGAAAAGTGAGCATGTGTGGGTCCTGCTAATGGAAGAGTGCAATCCCCATTAGTCCCTCTGGAAAACTCCTGCCAACAGTTTTGTGTCTATACAACATAATTAAGAACATCAACATGATAATATAGCCTATTTCCTAGCACATAAATTGTATGGGATGAGAACAAAATGGGTCTGCATTGCTAAACTCTCAGTGCATCCTCCCTAACTCTGTGTCAGTAGAAATCATTGACCCAAGAGATTGTTCAGAATTTGCCCAAGTCACACAGCCTACACAGCGAAGGTTATAGCAAACAGTGCCTTTCAGACCTCCATGTTCTCAGAATCACAGCTAGAAAGGACCCACAAGGATTATCAAGTCCAACCTTTAGCCTTGCACAAGACCATCCCCAAGAGTTACACCATGTGCCTGGGTGTATGCTATGGATAACAGACACGATCTACATGGCAGGAACATGAATCTTTATCTTTCATCTATCCAGCTTAGTGGCTATTTTAATGTTACTCCTCTCAGCAGCACATCTGACCCAAATCATGGTCTGGAGGGACTATTTGAGTCTGACCTGAATCCATACACCTGCAGGATTTTTCTGTACTCTAGGCCTATGCTTCTGCTACCAGGCTGCCTTATTCATTTAGCCCTTGGAAGCCCCTTGGAAGAGTGTGCTAATAAGCTCATGTATTGTTACTCCATTAGTTTATTACCTCTTTGCGTTCAGATTACATCTTTCCAAATTCTAAAATTTCAAAGTAAATATTGTTTATGAGCTCTTAGGCTGGGATTCGTGGCACTTATTTTTAGCTCTAAAAGTGGAGCAGCTTTTCTAAGCTGGCCATCCATATTCCTCCTCCAGGGAGTGGCAAGGGCCTCCAAAAGGCAACTCAATACAGCCAAAAATGGATGCCTAAAATAAATGGGATGAATCACCATTCAGAAGCTTCTTTTGTTCTGTAGGGGAAGCTTGCAAAACTGGTTCTAACTACTAGCCTAACTCTGTCTACAGTTAGCTGAGAGGCATAGAAACACTTTACCATATTTTAAACCGTCCATTATGAGTAACTTTAAAAAGCCCGTAAATGAGGTGAACACCTACATCTGCTACATTTACAATAGAAATCACTTTTACTGTTAGAAATTATTCAAGAGACAAACAGCAAGCAGACCAGCCAAAAGGAAGTAGAACATGGCAGGTTACAGAATTTCTACCACAACATGTTTTGAATGCTCAAAATTTACATGAGCCCAACGGGAGACTGAAGAAGTTCAAGGCAGAGAAATCCACAAAGGTTCCATATATAGCACATATTGTCAGGAAGCTACATGTTGTTACAGGATGAGATATTACTCTGAGAATTTATTATCTGAATATTATTACTGAGAATGCTTTGCTGAATTCATATACGTTGTCCTACGCATCTGCTTTAGGCCACTGTTGAAGTGGGAGTGTAAGAGTTAGATGACATTGGTCTGACTGAGCTGAACATTTCTTTACGCTCAGTCATTTTCTCTCTATCATCCATTCTTTTTTTTTTAAATGAACTACAGTAAGCTCAGATGCACTATACAGCCTCATTCTACTATTTTTTGTTGTCCAACCTACTAAAAAGCCACATGAAACAAGTAAAAACTTACAGCTTTTATGTGGTCACCTCCACCCTGAGCCAAACCAATTTTTTGGTGTCTTTGGACTCTAAGCGTCTGGGTCTTAGCTTTACATCCTGTAAAGGAGAGAGGTAATATCACAGGGTTCAGACAGAAAAAATAGGAGAAAAACAAAGCTTTAAACGTAAAAATTCTGAATCAAAGTTTTCAGACTGTAATGACCCTGTTACATGATTGTTTGGGTTAGTTTTCAGTAGAAGTTGTGGGATGTTGCAACAATTGTGAGCTGTATTTCTGGGTCTTGTGGGATGTTTCACTTTTCCTCTTTGGACTGAGAATTCATCTCAAATATGCTCACAAAGACTTTAGGTAGCTGTGAGTATGAGGGGTTCCGCCAGTTCGGACTAGGAAGATATCCTCCCTCTCACTTCACACTGTGTTCTGCAACAACACAGTACCATGCCTGTTATACCACTGAGATCAAGTTCTCTCAAGAAACTTGATATACCTCCAAATGTAACCAGATGCATCAGAAATAGAAAGGGGCAAAAAAAAAAAAAAATGGCAACAGGTCTTGTCTGGGTATGCTTTTTGTGCAAAGAGGATCACATTTGAAAAGACCAGGAAAGGTTGATTTGTTTGTTTGTTTACTCAATCCTGAAATACAAGATCAAGGGCACAACTGACGAAATTGAAAGGCAAGACATTTATAGCTGTTGAAAGAAGAAACACATAAAAATAAGCATTTTTTTGAATAATAACCCCTTACGTATTACCAACCCACTAGAGGAAAACCTGAAGGACTCACAGAAGAAGGATTAGGCATTATGTGAATTGTACAAATAAAACATGATTAAATTTTGGGACCTCCTTCCTCTGTCAGTCACTAAGAAATAGGAGTTAGGAAGTAATTTCCTTTTGGGTGAATTTTACCATAATTTTCTGTTTCATAATTTTCTTGTAGATTCTCCACAAGATATTGCTCACAGACACTGCTGGAGGCAAGATACTGGATTATGTGAATTTTTTATGTGTTCTAATAGGAGTGTGCGAAAAATCCTTAAGAAATTGTTCAGGTTCTTATCAACTATGAACTCCATTTAACACCTGTGAAGACTGTTAAAAATGTCATGGCAGTCTTCCAAATATATTTGAATTTAATCCAAAGGAGAAAAAAATGCTGCTGAAGTAAGTAGGACGACTTATGTGAAAAGTGTTAAAGAATGAACAGAGAACTTTTTTGCTTCCTTTTGTATATCATTCCTACTTTTATTAGATATTGTCTAACTAGACTATGTTGTTAGTGCAATTAATTTGACTTTAGGAAATATTTCTATGCAAGAGAAGATTTTAAACTTAAACAACCAGTAAGACAAGACAGAATTTTACAATTCTACTTGGTATTAAACTAGAATAGGTCTAAACCAAGGACAGGAAGTAAGACATCCAAGGGAACAAGACATAAACTAAGTACAAGAAGCAGTACCTTTGAAACAACATGAAGCTGAATGATGACTAATCCACCTTCTTTAAGTGGATCAAGAGCCCTGAGATTGCGTTCTGCATCCAATTTTAAAAAAGAAGTTTTTGAAAGTTGTGGATTACCTGGCAGAATAGAATATAGAGTATTAAAAAAAAAAAAAAAAAAGAAAAAAAAAAGTCATAAAGAAGCTTGAGGACTTAATTTTCTTTAGAAGAAAAAAGTCCAAGAAGGA